AAAAAAAAATTGGCAGCATTTGTTTATTAACAGCATTACAGTGTAATTAGCTTAATTGATATTTCTTATTTATTTATTTTTTTTTTTTTTTGTGGGATGTTTCATGTATTTAAACAAAATAATGAATTTTAAACTGAAAAATAACCATTGAAAACAAAATATGGGATGAATTATTTTTAACAGAGAGCAATATTTAAGGAAGTCTTTGATATTTGAAGAATTCTGTTTTCAGATTGAAATTATGTTTTGAATACCTGGTGACTAGCGTATCTTTATAAAACATTGAAATAGGGTAGAAGTTTAACCTATTGAAACAAAAAAGTAAATCTAGTGTTAATTATTAAATTTTAACATAAGTATATACATACAGACAGTGCAGGTCCATTTTAATACATTTTGTAAAGTTGTGATGTGGAATCATAGAGAAAGTTATATAGTTCAAAATATATGTGGCCTAGATATTGACCTCATCTACTATCACATACACTATATCAGCCTTTTATTTCCTTCTTTTTCACTTTTTTGGGAGAAAACATGGAACTGCTATGTTTTCCAGTTTTTCCTTTTTCATTTTATTATTATTATTTTTTTTTATTTCATTTGAATGGGGAAAAATAGTTGTCTTATTCAGTGCGGAATTCTGTGAGATATGAGGGGGGTAATTTGAAGGTTTATTTTGAAGGTCAAATACTAATAATCTGATTAGAATATTTTGTCAATGTAATGTAATACAATTAAATCTGCTGTTTCATTAAGACTGATGAAACAATGATTATTATAGTTATCAGTCGATATTTTACGTAGGTAGAGGGCCAATACTGCCGTGTCATAGATTTAAATATTTTGTTTTAATATTGCGTATTGTATGGCCTGTGTTTATTGTTTGTCCTCCTGGCCTTTTGTTTGTGGTATTTAATTGATGGTAGGATTATTGTGTTGGACATTTAAAAAGTTAATGATATGCTGAGGTGCTGGGTCTCAGATGTCTCCAATGGTTTATTGCAGTCTCGAGGTATAAAAGGTGAAACATTTAAATTTGGGGAAGTTTTAAAGGGATGCTTTAGCCAATCTGTTTCATTTCTGTTTTCCTAATGGATGGATATTTGATGGATTCGGGTAAGGAATAATTACCTTTTTTACATTGAAATCTCATTCACAGGCCTTTTTATATATACATTAAATGTTTTAGCTGGGATATAAGAAAATATGTTGGTGATCAGTGATATAGAAAAACTAAGTTGATAGGAATGTATGAGTAGTACTGTGACTAACAACACGTTCAGGGTACTGATGTATACACACCTGACAGGTAAGTCTGTTGGCCGACAGGTAGGTGATGCTGGTGATGTATTGCCCTTAGTGCCTGGTCTGCTGTATACCTCATAACTGCATTGAGTTCCCCTCATAACAAATATTTACTGCACAAAATTCATATCTAGCAAATTAAAAAAATTCTTGTAATAAGTACATTACATATGTTAGGACAAAACAATAAGATATGGTTCTTTAGTTTAAAGTGTTTGCAGTCTCTGTGAATTTTTTTCTGCCAAATATTCATGTCTTCATGTCAGACATAAAAAGAAATCAAACAAACTTTGCTTTATACTTATAAGTTATCATACATTAAAAGGAAGTTGAATAATAACTTTCGTCAGTTTTCAACAAATTTCTCCTTTACAAAAAAAAAACAGCAACGAAAATAAAAATGAATTTTAATAGATTTTGTTTGTCTGACATGTTGGAGAATCTATTTCATATTAAATTAAAAATAGGCTCTTGTTCTTGTTAGTATCGAACAGGAAAATTTTAGAAAGCCAATTGACAATTATTTCATAATTCTTGTGAAAATTTCACATTAACTAGGATTGTTTTGTGCCCAACGTCACTTGATACCAATTAGCTTTGCACGAAGGATCATTGTTTTTATAGAATATTTCCCTGTTTTTAAAGTGTTGATATGAAAGCCGGAAATATAAAGAAAGAAAATTTTTGTTGATCATGAGATGCTGCAAATTTGTGTCACTTTCAAACAGTTTGATACAAGACACTAGCTGGTACGCCAATCAGAACAATGAATCAACAATTTGTTCCTTATGTACTATTAGAGAGGTTACAGAACAGCTCGTATTAATGTATTTGGTTGTGAATCACCATCCTATGTGACATTGTTACACACAATCCAACAGAACAATTCACTTTAGTATATTAATCATCCACTATAACAGATTTTATCTTGTACATGCTACAAATGTGAAGGACTTTGTCAAGTACTCCTAAGTGATGCAGATCCTGAGAAAATCTTGGTCTTGTTTGTGTTTGTATTTCTCCCACTCATTCATACTTCGTAATTAAGGTTCCCAGTCTTATTTTGTTTTCCCTTTTTCCTCGAGAAACCAGATCGCCTACCTCATATTTCTGTCTTTATTATGACCCAAGTAATTTGTAACTGTTAGATTAGTTGTATTAGCTCTGATTTGATAGAAAACAAATAATTACAACATTTTAATAGTGATTATCATTATATTTAAATTCTCATGTTTTATAGAATTTAATTACTCCGAAATATTTTTGCTTTCTGTAGTAACAACAGTTAAAATAGTTATTTTCCAGTTATAATGTTTAGGTCAATCTAATTCTACCAAGTTTCTCTCCTCAACCATATCCACTTAATGTCTTTAAGGAGAGTGATCACAAATACTTATATTTGTCCAATTTTACAACAATTCATAAATACATAAAGAAAAATTGTCATGTATTAAAAATGTTTGCCATCCTGATGCATCTTTGTGACAGACTGACATTGACAGTAGTTCAGGTGAGACACAGGTGAGACACAGGTAGGCCAGGTACATATACCTGTATTGTGTTCTCATCAATCATACAAAACTGATTGCAATGATCCATCACTGAGTTTCCCTTCCTACCTGAGATAGTCCTCTAAGGCAGTACAACACCATGCTATTATTTGTCAGGATTATTCTCCACGTAGAGAATGTCCATACTTGTTGTGACAGATCAGTGACAATTATGTATTTGTTTTTAGCCTAGGGCTGCATATCATGGTGGTGTAGTAGGAAGTGATAGAATAGTTCATTCCCCACCCGTATATATAATATGATGAGTCTTTCCTTAACTTTATTCCTTCTTGTCTCAATATCTGAAAACAACCATTGGAATATAGAAGCCCTGTTTGGAACTGTAAGTGGAGATCTAGATATATAACAGGTAGGGAAATTATCATCTATGGTACAGAAACATTTTTTCAATTATATACTTGAATAAGTTTTTAATATTAATTAAATTAAATTAAATTTAATGATATCAATTAATAGGTGATTGTTAAGAATTATATTTACTAAGAAAAGAAAAAAGTAGTATTTTGAAAAGTTTTGAATATTCTATTTAAGCTATAGCATATTATACAGTTACAGTGCATTGTAATGGATTGTTAATTATGCAGAGATGCAAGGTGTGTTCCTTGTCATTATTGGAACTCACTTTTAGATGATGGGTTTTGTTGTGGAAAGTAATGAAATATCTATTTAATTAGAATTTAGAAGTAGTATCGCTGTTTGGGTTCTGAACCATTTTATTAAGACTCTACTTTTCAATTCTAAATATGCCAGAAGAAAGTAATATTTTTAAAAAATTATCAAACTAATGAATGTTTTATCAAAAGGATGGGGAAAAAAGAAAATTAAAAAAAAAAAAAACAAACAGAAAGAAAAACACAATGCGGAAAAAAAGATGAAATGTTATCGGAACAATATTTGAAGAATGTATCAAACTTTCTAATGGTGAGCTGAAATAGTGAATAATTTACTTCCTCAGAAAAATTGTGGTCAGTTTGGGTGGATTGAAAAATGCAAAAGGACAAAATCAGTGTTAGCTTAAAATATTAAATTGTAAATAACATAAAACTACTTAGTTATATTTATTCCAGTTGACATTCAGTAACATTTCTAAAATTCAAATTGTTATTTTTATTATATATTTGGATTTTAACACATTACCTATGTACACAATTTTAAGAGCAGTAAAAATGATTTAATGTTTGTTGGTCACTTAGAAAAAAATAAGAAAAAAATTGATTGATTTTTGATGATTTCTGATGATGGCAAAAAGATCTAAACAAGGGTGAGTTTAATATGTTAGAACTGTAGAGAGATACATCTGGATCAAGACCTACAGGAGTTAAAAATCCACTGTATTCAATGTTTGTTATTGGTGCCATATGCCAGTTGATATCTTAAAATTTAATTTGCATATCTCAAAATATTTTTCTCAGAGTTTCTGTACACCCCTTCATTTCTAATGACTCCGAAATAGAAAGGTTCAACTAGTTGCGTTGTGTTGGGTACAGACCTCCAGTTTGTCTCCGTGGTGCTGAGATTAATGCCGACCGTACCCCTTGACTTCCTGAAAACATGTTTGTTTCATAATGCTTCGGCACATCAGTCAGATGTTGAAAAGCAACAAAAAATGTGTATACTTTTCACTTTCTTGGGTCAGCTATCAGACTTTGCAGGCGCCCTTCATACAACAATACTGTCTCTGTGAAGGCAAGCAGGTTTGCCTGAGGTTCCTGTACTCCAGTCTTCAACAAACCAGATTAATACACATATAGTTTATATAAATTTTACACTTGTGACTTGAATTACATCATTTTTCACAAAAGCATTGTTTCTTTATTTTTCCAGATATAAGTTTTGCTTATACGATTGGCTGTATGCATCAGTCATGTGTTTCTCGCTGCCACTTGAATGTTTAATGTTGGTTCATGATGAGATATAGCCTGTCGTTGTACATTGATAAACATTGGTGAAAATTCACTACTTTTTTTCGGGCATAATTTATCAGATTCTAACATTTGAGTTTTTTTTTTTTTAAGGAAAAACTGGAACAGTGATCAATCAGTGTTAGATCTCATTTTTTGCTGTATATTTTGTACTTTTTAAACCAGTCACTTTATAATGAATATACGTTGTCATATTTTACAGGAGCATGTCTTCAAAACGAAAGAACACCCCAACAAAGCTGCCAAAAGACGACGTCGTAAGCGAGCGACCAATCAGTGAGTGTGACAGTAACCAAGACAGTGACGGAGAATTAGACCCCGCCCATTTACAAATTGTCACAAAATCGGATAGCGAATCTCAGGACTCGGACAGCTGTGGATTAGACAGACCTCCCAGCAAAAAACAACGAATTCTCCAAAGAGTACGACAAGGGTCAGACTCAGACAACGAGCTTAATTTCTCAACACATTTCAATAACAATAATAACCATATCACAACAAAGTCCACGTTTGGACTGCAGAGAAAGTCTATGGACAGTGTTCTTCGACGATTGAGCTCAAAGTCTGACAGTGAGCTTGAGAATAACAATATGGCTGACAAACCGGCCAATTCTGATGTGCGTGTGAAAGAAAGTATTCAGATGCTACTTAGCGATGGTAGCCTGACTGACAAGGAGCGAAGGCTCAGTGACATGATTGCTCAACTGCAGGACCTAAAGGAAGACATCAGCAAACAGAATAAAGTGGTAAGTGATAAGTATATGTAAAGTGAAAGTAGGTTAAGTTACTTGGATATCAAATGGCATGCAATTACATTATGTTGTTTTAAACATTCTGTTACTTCTATAAATTGTCAACTAAATCAGCACAGTAGAGACACAGTCAGTAGATCACAACTCACCAAGATTAAGCACTTTGTTTTTGAACCAGTTTCCTCTCTAACTCCATTGGTGTTAGTATGGTTTGACAAACAAATTGGATACCAAGTTATTTTAACTTTTCATAATCACCATTTGAAGTCAAATAAATGATCAGGAGTATAAGATCTATATTTATAGAAATTCATGAACCAGTAAGTCTGAAGTTTCTAACTTACACACACTATGAGAATGTGATACCCTTTCTACTATTTTTCACCTACACTGTGATAGAAGCCAAATGCAAGGAGTAAATTGTCTCAATTATACCTCAAGTTCATGCCACAGTTTATTGAAATGAATTACAAAATACAGCTGCACTGGCAAACAGCCAGTCTTCCATCAAAGTTTTGGTGTTGCTAGGTCAAAGGTCAGTGTATTTCTGGTAGGAACTATGCCAAACCCCCCTTGTCTCATTCATAACTGTAATTCCTGCCAATGGGATAAAGAAGCTTCTGTGCGAAATGTCCGTGAAATCATCTCCGTGTTTTAATTACAGCAATAATGGGATAGAAATAGGTGTAAAATTGTTAAATTGATGGAAAAATTGTCTGAATATGTCAGTAATGATATTTGTGAATGGTTGTTATGGAGAAATTCAAGATTCTGTAGTTGTTGTGACAGTGCTAAGTTGTTTACACACCAGCAGCAAAGACTCAAGATATCATTGAGTGGCACTGGAAAATTTCGGAGAACTTTAGGTAAAACTTCTGACAATACGATGAGCCGAAACATGACTCAGAAATATGTGGGGTGTAAAAACCAAGAAAATTTCAGCGTTCTGGCTATCTTTTAACAAGGCATTTGTTTAGATAAAGAATTGTTGTGCTGTGTAATGAGTAGAAGAAATTGGTAAGACCAAGAAAATATAGTTATGGGGCGACAATTTACACCTTTATGCTTATTGGTACATGCTGACATAAAGCTGTAAGTGTTCCTGCAAGTGAATATACAGCCATTTATCCAGGAGGTTAATATGAAGTCCTGCTCCATCAAAGACTGAAGGAGAATGTTATTTTGTATATACAGTCGGCTTTCTGAGAAGAAAGCATAGCTGATAGATGCCGTTTTCTATTAGCCTTTGCTCGGCAGTTTTGTTTTCAGTTAGGGAGCAAATAGGTTTCCTTTGTGGTACAGACAGTATACTCTAGGATTTATTGTTATCTCGAATTGAGGTGCATAACAGACTTTTGTCCAATAAGATTTTATCACATAAAACATTTTTTTTTTTTTTTTTTGGATGAAAAACAGAAATAACATGAAATATGATTTGGTTATCAAAGAAAACAGAAGTGCATACAGGAGATTTTATGACGTAATATTGTGTTTGTTTAAAGGAGCAAGGAAACTTGACAAGGGGAGGGGTTAAATAGGCCACTAGATACTCTTACATTTGCCAAAATTGAATTACTTCATGAAAAGAAGCGGAAGTATTTTTCAATTGAAGAATGTTGAAAAGAACAATTTATGTTGATTTAGATAAATAAATAATAGATTTTAATTTGGATATCATGAACTATTTATTGTGCTTTTTGCTTGACTTCCTACTTCTAACTGGTCTTGAAAGATGAGAGATAAGAAAAAGGGGCAGAATTCACCGCCTGGCTCTGAGGGCTATATGGTAGTGACACGGGTTTGGCAATGCATTATTTGAAATCTGTCAGTGTTTAGCATGATAAGTCTACTAAAATTCTGGTCGCCTTTTAACAGAAGAGACAACTTGTATCTGTCCTTTCACTATCATAGACAGTAATTTGTGTCGGAATAGTGTCCCCTATAACATTCACATCAAATTACGTACCCTACTCCAATAAAATCTACTCCAAATGCATGCGCGACAATATATACGGATAAAGCTTGACATTTCTTTCTAAATACAAATGGCGATTGGAGCGTTTTTTGTAGCAAAGTGGTTTTTCCTCCGTCGCCATTGTCATCCAAAGCATACTAAAAGCTGTTAGATACTTAGAAAAAGAAAGTGCTCTTTTATCCATTTCCTATCTCGTGTTTTTATTTCAAATGTGATTCTGTGAGCCAGCGATCACTCCAACCCAACAATGGGAAGGTAAATGTAACACTAATGAGACGAATTGGACGTAATTGTCTCACAAAACCTCACAAACCATCCACCATCACTGCCTTATTGCCAACAATTTGGTGTGGGTTAGCCTGCAGTCAATAAGCTAGGCACAAACTGTTAGAAAATGCAATCACCAGCTAAACTCGTGGCTTTATTGTGTTTTTAAATGGGAACAAGATGACAGTGTATGGTTTTTATGACCAGTAAATCTGGACAAGTTTCAGGCAAATAAAGTCCCACACTTAATCTAATCTAGTGTTTTAGTTAAGGTGTGTGTATCCTTGTCGTCAGACGGTCAGAATTCCAACCTATTAGAGAAACATAAAGGATGTTGGACAGCCCCTTACTTTGGTCAAAGGTACACCCTCCTCATCGACACACTCATCACTGCCATTTCCCTCATCGACATACTCCTCATCGACAAACTCCTTGTGGGTTTTTTATTTAGGGGTCTGCTCAAGAGGAATCAAATATCATACAGTTGTTTCAATTTGTACCTAGGAAGGCATGTTCAACATTTGAGGAGCATTCTAAGATAAAGAAAAGAATGAAAAGAAAAGGCTGATAAATGAAAATGATTGTGTATACACATTGACAAGAGGATTAAGATATTTTCTTTATCGAGAATAAGGAGAACGTCTTTTTTATTGTCATTTTTGTCTTTTATAGAATGATGGATCAGCTGAAACATCCGAGTCCAAACTAACAGGTAAGTCAACATAAACCCTCCAAATATATCATATAGATGTACAAATATCAAACATTAATTATCTGGGATCATTATCTATTACAGGATCAATTATAAATAGTAGCTAGCTGTATTTTCTGCAAGACGTTTCTCAGTAATAACGTCTCGAAAAAATCCTTCCTCCTATGAGATATTCTGTTCCTCATTTCTCACATTCAAGAAATTCTATTTCTCTTTTCTCACCCCAGATATTTAGTATCTCATCTCACATGAGACAGCTGCATGAGACATTCTGTTTCTGATTTCTTTGATAAAGTATTCCACTTCTTTATGCACTGTCCCATTACTAACGATTTCTCCATGGAGAAATTTATTTCGGTATCGTCTTGACAAGATGTGATGGAATCTGTGACAATACAAAACAACTAGGTTTAAATTTACTGGTCTGTTAGCTCTTAGATCAGACTCTATAAATTAATAGATTCTCAGTGGAAAGGGGCCAGCCAGAGAATCCGGAAGATGGTACGGGGCTTGGGAGTATGTATAGTTATAATGTAACATGACCAAACACCTCCTGCCGTTTCGCCTAGTACGGGTTCATTCAGGGCAGTTTAATGAAAATTGGTGTTTTTAATGAAGTTGCACATCAAAGCTTTCATGACTATGTTTTGTGTGAAAGAAACACTTACTTATTGGTTGAGTAGAGAAATGAATTAAAACCGTAACTATTTGGTACTTGGGTTGACTTTCCTATAGCATGATCGGTACTCTAGAACATGTTCTTATTAATCTGCTAAATCAGAACTTTTGTGACAAATTTCTTGTGAACAAGTAGTCAGCAAGGGTAACAGATATGGATCTTAAATTTAAGTGTTTAATACAGATAATACCTGATAAATTACTAATATGCCCATTAGTATTTCTTAAACAGTACTGGGTATTCTGTTCTTGGAAAATTTACCAAAATTTTATTTAAGGGCATTGAGAGATATTTCTTGAGGGAGGGGTATATTTGGTAGAATCTATCTTTAGAAAAAAAATGATCACTACAATATTTGTGACTAGTTTCATTCATTACCAATGTGTTCTTGCAAAATGAAATTACTAGGGTGAATGTTCTGTTTCTAAACTGGACTTTGCCATCACTACATAAATTAGCTGATGAGGTTCCTGAAGTAGCCAAGGTGTTGATCAAATGTATAATAGCAAACATCCCTTAGAACAGCTTTGACCCCCTGTGGCCCCAGCCCTGCCCCATAAGCCCTTATAATTATCCCAACTACAAAGACTGCTTACTCCTTGGAAAAATAATCACACAATTTGGAAACCAAGTCCAAATGCAGAAAAACACCATTATAAGTGTGATGGGGGATTCCTGTACCGACTTTGAAGTAGGAACCCCAATGTGTTTTCCAATGGGGTGTTGGAAGCCTGTGGTCCCATTGGGGCCCTGATAAAACAGAAATTGGATGATAAGGATAATGTTTATGTACCAGTCTTTGTTGACAAAGTCTCCAGGGTTCACAGTGTCCAGCTGGGCCAGAAATCTGGAAAACAAAAAAAATGGGGTCAGGTGTAATTACAATTTATGTTGAAACATGTGCTACTCTGTAGACCAGGGGCTGTGAGGGGCTACGAACAATGACCATTGTATACTGGGTCTACATGTTAGAGGAGGGGGAGGGGGGAGGGGAGGGGGGGGGGTTACAGTAACTTAGAATATTAAGTTTAAAGTCACAGATTAAGATAAAAATAAGATGTAAATTAATATAAATGTACATATTAAATATAAACTTAACATAAAAATATTCAGTATGTAAAAGTTAATAGAAATAAGAATTCAATGTTTAAATTACAAAGGAATGCCATACAGGTCAATGGTTCATGGCGACTTTTGAGGAGGAGTGAGGTTGGTTTGGGGGTGGGGGTGGGGTACAAGGTGAACCCAGAAGTTGGATATTAGTTTCAGGGATGGGGGGTTGGGTGGGGGTGAACCCTTAAGATGGGATATTAGTTGAGATCCGTGGGGATGTTGGTAACAATGGTTCTAGGGTAAGGAGAAGAGGACAGAGTGGTCCCCTGGGGAATTGACAAGGGTATGTTCTCAAGAGAAATGCCATTAGCAGTGAACCATGACTGGAGGGTAATGAGGGTCAGGGGTCTGGCATTCCTCAGGTTCCCTAGCCCAAACACCCCACTTAATGACTCCACAATACAACTTGAAAGCTGGCCTGCTAAAGAAAAGTTAATTATTTCACTTAAAACACTTACATAGTGTAGAGAGATCAGAGCCGTCCCATACAATAGAGGGAGTATATGGTGAGGACAGGGCCTCCGACACTGCTGAGAGCTGTCCACATGGTTTCTGTTAGATCAGTAATTCCCCCTGTTTCTGCTCTATTAGTCAAACAATAGCCTCTGTCAGGCTTAAATTGTTTCAGCATTTCCTGAATCTCAAACATTCCCTAACAGTTCCCAGACTTTGTTTTCTGTCTGTTTCCTCCTACATCTGACAGTCTCGCACCCATCACAAGCAGTTTGTGTAGATGGAGGCTAAAGTGTTTCCAATACAACTGTTCCACTGCATCAGTGCCTTGAAACTCGGACATCAGTTAGCAGTCTTCGGGATATTAATGTCCCAGGAAGTATTTTGTCGTAATTGCCAGGTGGAATATAAAATAAGCATTAATGGTTATTTGTATGGACATTTTAAAAGGAATCTTGCTTGAAAAGGTTTTCATTATTGGCATATTAGTCCCGACCAGCTGAGAAAAACATCAGTCAAGTTCTGATCTGTATTTGTCAACAAACTCTTCCCAAATGTTGCTGTGATGTTTGTGTAAACAATCTTTTATATTAGAATTTCAATTACTTTATATCATCAGTGTTTTTTGGAGTCTGTATTGTTTTTCATTTTCATGTGATTAACGATACAATGTAATCAATCAAAAATTTTAATAGAAACCATTCAGTCATTAAAAAAATCAAATTAATGGAAAGCTAGCTATTCCTGATATAAGTCAGCTTTCAAGGTTTGATGTCTTCATCAAAACATTAGAAAGGATAAAACAATGTTTTGAGATGCTTCAGGTTTCCATAGAGATGTAACTGGTCTTAGGACGTTCAGTATATAGGTCTACCATAACTATTGTTTCTGGGTACTTTACACACAAGTACATAGCACCAATAACAAGGTCCATTGTGCCGCTGCCCTATGTTTGAAGTTAAATTAAGACAAAGGACCTTAAGTACAAGTAGAGTTAACTGACTGTTCCCCAGGGAAAGCCTGCCGTCGTCCAATTCTTGTTATGTCTTACCATGTGTTTTCTAGTAGTTCTATAGAGTACTGAGAGAGAAATCTAGTAATTAATAGGGCAGTCTTATACCCACTACCAGTAACAATAATAAACATTGTTTGCGATTGAAATTAAACTAAGATTACAATAAGGTTCACATTTTCAAAGCAAACTAAAAGTTTTTAAAAGAAATACAAAAGTTTCCATAAATAAAGCTTTCAAAGCTTTAAGATTAAGTTTATTAAATATAATTGGTCATGTTTTAATAGGAAGAGTTTTAAGGAGTCATAGCGTGGATGACTTAGTGTTTTTATTTCTGAAGATAGTATAGGCTTCATATTGTTATAACCCATCATATTCAAAGTGAAAGTGTCTTATCATACTTTCTCACTTTACTTAAGAAAACAACATTTTTATTTAAAAAGTCAGGAAATCTATTAACTCTCTGATGACATCATCTAATATAAAATACCTCAAATTCTCAAGAGTTTTTCTGTCTCATTCCCAAGCTTATGTCGCAAAGGAAAGTATGTAATCTCTTGGTTTTAATTGTTCTATGTAAAAACAATACATTGCATTGTTAACGTGTGACAAATCGTCTGGTATTTCCACACATGTATTGAGAGCTTCCTCTAGTTTTCCTGATACACTAGAAATCGGAAACATCACAATTAAAGAGTAAGGCACTTACAAGCTACAGTCATGTGCATATGCTTATATTTTTTTAATACAATAGGATAAAAAATTTCCTCCTTGTCTATTGCTAGTTTTCATATTGTGTGTCCATTTATGGTGGGTTTGTTATATAATCATATCAAAAATTCATAGCCTTGTATTCTAGTTATATCACTTTGATTTTTTTCAAATTTACGAGGACAAGATCAGAGGGAAACAGATTGCAATTTTCTAAGCTTGCGTTAAAATCGTCCATCGTTTCTCCTGTAATTATCTTGGCCATTAAACAGTTAATAGGGTGCATTTCAAGCAAAAAATGACATCACAACTAAAACATTTGACAGTGCGCTATTGTTACAGGCTATATTAAGTTTGCTGCAGGACAATTGAGAATCTTGACAATAAACTCACAAATTCGGGTGATTGTACCCCCTTATTCCTCTGTGGTTACGCAGGGCCATTGTTTGTTCCGGATGGATATATCACGGGTCAATCTCGTACAAGTGTCATTGTATATACCTTTTACTTCAAAAGCATGTGCCTGTGTGCATCCATTGTTACCTTTACGATCCACAGACTGAGGTCAGAGGTCAAGTGGAGTGGCCGGGTACAACAAAACATTCATACACTATTGTTAAATCCCCAATAAAGAAAAACAACACGCCTTTCTTTCAGAAAATCTTTTTTTCCCTTTTTTGTTTAAAGATTTTATCTGGTGATAAAATAAGAAGAAATGTATTTGAATGGTTGTAATGTTTTAAAAACCGATTGTATTCCTATCAATGATGTAATAAAAACCCCAACATTTGAACATGTTTTAGCCATTGACGTCGCGGGATTATTTTATATTTACACCTGGTTTGGTGGCCGCGTGATATTTATTAATATTGTGAATGACACACTCACAGACTTTGTAGTGTTCACACACACATCCCAGGAAAGGTTGCTTTTTATCGTAGATAATTGCAATTAATTCTTCAGAGAAATAGTGTATAAACAAACTGGATCACTTTCCCTTTCTGTAAAAGTTCAAACAGAACTGTGTAAATT